TCACCCCACCAGTACATGGATACATTATCCTGATTGTGGGTCGCCCAGTCATCGCTCTTACTCTTAAATGCCTCTTACTTAACAGAGAGGCGGAAATACCAATCATCAACTTTTTGAATTGACCCGTCCGGGGATCAAACACACGGCCTAACGACCTTTGAGGCCAGCACACTAACACCCATGAGACCACCAACATCCAAAAGAGTCTTCAATATATCAATGCCAAATGGACTACTTGTACATAAAACATTTATGCTTTAGAAACGCTTTTTTATTCCGCCAAGCTTTTAGTATTCAGGGATTTCAAGAAAGGTCAAACATTTGAAACTTTTACTCCAATACAAAATTTTCAGCATTCAAGGTTTGCTAGAAATACAAAAAATTCAATGTACTTTACAAAATAAATTCACAGAATCAAAAATAAGTGACAGCTTGATTGATAAGATACATACATGACGTAGACAAATAGTTTCAGACAAAGACAAAATTATATAATAGTGTCGCGTAAGTGCAAATATCGAATAAACTCAAATCAGTACAAATAAGACAACCATACTATCATATAATAATAAGTTTTTCTCATTTGGTACGATGTATATCCTAGTTTTTGTTTCATATCTTGATTTACTTGGTATGGAAATATGGATGCTGCATTCAAGGAAGATACTAAACCAATAGTTCCTCATGCTAAAATTGAAGTTCCTTTTTTTGAAATTATTACGTCGCTATGCAGCATGATTTGATTACCTGTTTTTACGAAAAAAATATGTCATAGAATACATTGTATACTCTGCAAAAAAAAGAACGAAACGCATAATGGATTTCATTAATTTTGAATGGAAATTTTACAATTACTAATAAAGATATTCACTCAAAACGTGTTTGATAAGGAAGAAGACAGTCAATTCCTTCGAGATTGATGAATAAAAGTCAATTTATTACAATAAGATAAAAAAAAGGTTCGAACGTGTATGACCACCTCTCGCTGCTAAGACTGCTACGCATCTCCTCGGCATGGATGCTATCAATGTTCTAATGTTGTAGCGTGGAATTGCTCGCCATTCCTGTTGCAACATTTGTCGGAGCTAATCAAGAGTCTGAGTCATGTGTTGACGCTGGCGCACACTTTTATCCAGTTGGTCCCAGAGATGCTCAATAGAATTCAAGTCTGGTGATTTTGAAGGCCAAGGTAGCACATTGATGTTAATCTGCTCAAGGTAGTCCATTGTTAAATGCGCTGTGTGAGGCCTAGCATTGTCCTGCTTACTCCCTCTGTCGGTCAAGAACATGCATAAGGTGAGGTTGGGGAATTTCGTCTCTCTACCTTTGAGCCGTTAAATTACCCGGAACATGTACCAATTCCGTTTTACGGTCATTAGAGATAGCCGCCCACACCATGACACTTCCTCCACCGAAGCTGTCCACTATTTGGACACACGAGGAAGCAAAACTTTCATTCATGCGCCGGTAGACTCGAGTTCTTCCATCACGTTTCTGAAGCATAAAACGGAACCAGATTCTGCGCCAGTTGCGGAATGTCCAGCTCCTCAATCTGTTGCACCATCGGACTCTATTCCGTCTGTGTAACGGCCTCAAAACGGGTCGAAAATACGGCCTCCTTGGTCTAATGCCATGTTGTCGCATTCGATTGCGGACTGTTTGTGAGCTGATTCTTCTCAATCCTGGTATCCCAGCTACAGTGGCTGTTGCAGCAACCGTTCGATTCCGTAGATGAAATACCCGGATGAAGCGATCTTGTCCAGAAGTCGTTAGGCGAGGTCGTCCACTCCTCGGGCGGTCCTTAGTACAGCCAGTCTACTGGTATCTGTTCCAAAGTCGCAAAATTGTGCTCTGGTTAACATTTTCAGTTCTTGCTACTTCCCTTTGGGACACTCCAGCCTGGAGACGGCCGATGACGATATTTTGAATAGCAGGGTCCAACCTTGGCATGGCAGCGTGTTAACGTTGTGATGAATTAAATCTTATACCAACAAATTTAAAAATATCCCAATCTGAACGAGTAATGTTACTTGTGAGGCCAATAGTTTTATGGACATTCAAATATAATTTTCAAATACAGCTATGCATTTGTCATCAGTTACCAATATAATAGCGGATTCTTTATTTTATGGACAGTTGAAAAAATTCAAAGAGGCGGCTGCAATAGCAGAAGTAGAACCTACACCAGTACCACAGGAATTCTGGGATCACTTGATTTAGAAGCGTCCAAACTTTTGAATGCCTCTTTTTCAAATAGTACAAGCAGTATATGAACAGGCAGAATAGTCTTTTCACAAATTTATTTTGGAATGCAAATTACCAATTATTTGGCCACCTAGTCTTGACTACATGATAAAAGACATAGCTTATTTGTCCAAAAATATTTATGCGCCATCAACTTGCAGGTCATATATTTCTGGTTTGTCTTTTAAACTAAAAGCCGACAATTTTGAAGACATTATACAATCTCTTTTGATTAAGAAGATATTGACTGGGTCTGACAGATTGTATTCACGTCCTGACATCAGGCAACCTATAACAGCTGAAATGATGGCATAAGTGTCTAATGCATTATTACTAGTTTTTTTCTAAATATGAAAGCACTTTATTTTGGACAGTATTTTCATAAGAATTTGGGGCATTTCTTAGAGTTGGAAAAATTACTATAAGATCTGTTAAAGACATGGGGTATGTTTTGCAAAAAAGATGATGTTACAAAGGATTTTAACAAACATTATTAATGTTACTATTCGTTTTTTTAAAACAGACCAAAGAGGTTTGACAACTACATTGGCTATAAAATCAAACAGTAGTCTGATGTGTGCGCTCTCAAATTATCATTCATCAATACCACACTACAACAGTCCTTACTTTTGTCAATTAGATGGGAAAGCAATGACTAGATATCAATTTCATTCAATTCTCACAAAAACAATAAATTTTCTTGATTATGATGTTAAGAGATTCAATACCCATTCCTTCAGGATAGGTGCAGCAACACATGCATTTTTAAATGGAAAAACTGAAGAAGAAATAAAACTCATAGGTCGATGGAGGTCCTCTTCATTCAAGCGATACATTCGTATAAATTAATTATAATCTTTCAGAATTGAGAGACATATGAATTATTGGCTCGTCTATTATTAAAACGGCTTCAGAACACAATGAAAACAGACCAACAGGAACAAATGTAGGTTTCGATAAAAAAGTATACAACATAATTTGGCTCGGGGATGAAAGTCGGTGGTTCATCCGGGCACTCTGGCTTCCTCCACCAATAAAAACTGACCGCCACGATATAGCGCAAGAGTGTTGAAAGTGGCGTTTAAACACCAATCAACCAATCAATCAATCATGGATGAAGTGGTTCAATCTTGATAGGACAATTGATGCTGTATAAATTGGAGAGGAGTCCCATCAGTTTTAATTATCCACTGTGGTGGAAATGATCTGGTTAATTGTTGTAATGGTGACTTGTTGTTTAATATGAGAAGTACTTTTCATAGTTTAAGATTCATGATGCTGAATACGTTAATTATTTGGTCTTTTATTTTACCACGTCTTAGTTGGGGTGGTGCTTTCAATAATGAAAAGATTGGAAAATCTAGACGTCGCATCAGTAAGTAAGATATGTTGTAAATCAATTAGACACTTGGATTTTGAAGACAAATATCAAGCTTTATTTGATGCCGATGGTGTTTATCTTTCTTTTTTTGTGGAATGATATTTTTATCAATACCATCCAAACTGCTATTGACCTATTTATTGACCATTCATTCGGGACATTGTATCCTGATGAGTGGTAATACTGAATTTGTTTTGGGACATAGATATTTTACTAATACTTGAGTAACTAGGTATTGAATTATTTGTTGTCTTGTTTAACTAAACATTTGAAAGACTATCAAAGTTAAACATGTTTGTGTTGGCTTTGATCACAAATTTTAATTATTTGTTTTGATTGAAAATTTGCATAATTACTTATATCGAATAATTACTTGATTTGTAATGTTGATTTTATGTTGTTGAAAAAATTATTTGTTATGTTGATCTAATGTTGTTGAAAAAATGATTTGTCATCGGCTTTAAGGGTGAAAAATTAATCTGGCGATGTTAACAAATTTTTATTAACTTTGGTGGAATTTATCTTATTTAGGTGCTGGAAGCACAGTTACCACCTCTTCAGTGCGGGTTGCCCTTTACTGAATCAATGAACAACATAATTATATTGTCATTAAATGATTTATTTTTTGGTCTCTTGAAATTTTTTTGTTGTTATGATGTTGTTGTAGAATTGAAGCCATGACAAAAAAGCCAATTCTAAATTTGTGTTGTTTTTATTCATGAGACAAATAATTGAATCAGGACATAGAAACTAATTGTATGTGATAGGTATTAATTTATTCGATTCACCGTTTAAGTATAGTGTCAGTTTTGTATATTCGATATCATATACAATAATAGATAGATAGAAGCTTAAATAAGCAAAAGTGATCAACAAGACAAGATCTACAATTTAGACAATATATATATGGAGGAAATCGTCTGACGACTCCTTATTGGAGTTATTGCCCTATAATGACGATTTGTTACCATTTGGTTTGCGTTTTGTCTTATATGATAAAAAATTTTGTTAGATAGATAGACACTTTAAATCACAAAAATGATCAGCAAAGCAAGATCTACTAACAAATCAAATTTTGCGTATATAGTTAGTAAGTTAGTAGACTGTCACTCTTTATAGGAGTTATCGCCCTTAAATGGGATTTGTTTACCCTCTTTTGTGTTTTGAGCAAAAACTAAAGACGACAATGAGAAACTAAACAAACTAAATGATCAGCAATACAGGATCAACAAAACAGAGATATCTAAATGAGAATTTACAATGTTGGAGCGTGTCCTTTGTTGAATATGCACATAGACTGAGGTGATCGACATAGGCTCTTTCCAGTGTTACATGGAAATAATTCCGATATTTTGTTATAATAGAAAACTCTTGATTTGGTATAACACATTTATTATTACTTTATATATTCATCTATTAGGTTAAGAATTATTTTATATTGCAACCCATTTCTCCAGATGGTACCAAAGCCGGCCTTCGAAAAGTTTAAGAGACAACAAATAAAATGATGAAAATGTATATGATGAGCAGTCGAGTATGCACAAAGAACATTCATTAGTTTAGCGCAAGATATAATTGGATCTAGACAGAATAAATAAAAATAATGAAACCTCAGTAAAACCTGTCCTAATGCTCCAACAAAAAAGAATCAAAATTTTCATAGAAAATGGCGATGATAAGTTAATATGATTACTTTTCAAATGTATGTATGTAAACAGCACAATTTAGTTAACCTTAATTTCTTTATTTATTAGCCAAAACTGATTCTTTGTAGTAGACTTTAATCAGTTGTCTCATTTGCAATCACACTACATCTTCTTATTTTTATATTAAACAAAATTAGCACAATATTTACTAAAATACACACTTTTCATTTAATGGATGTATAATTCAGAAAAAAATGAATAATTGTTTCAATTACATTTACAAAAAAATCAACAAATATACCGGGCTGAAAATTGTTTACGCCAGAGACGTAGGTTACGTCTACAAAATACTCATCAATGACGTTCGAATAAAAACAATTAAAAGCTCAAATAAAGTACGAAGTTGAAGAGCATTGAGGATAAAAAATTCCGAAAGGGTTTGTCAAATACTGTAACAGCTAGCTAAAGGTAATATATTCCTGGGGAAAAAAATTCTTAGTTTTCTTCGCACATTTCAAAAAGAGAGGCTAAATATACCAAAGATACTCTTAAACTCATAAGTCGAAAATAAATTGTCAACACCATGCAAAAAAAAAGAAAAAGACCAAAAGACAAATAACAATATACCAAATACAACATAAAGACTGAGCAACACGAACCAATGTTTTTTCAACTGTTTTCCATCAAAACCTATAAACAAGTTATTCCACAATGAAAAAATGTACAATACGACGAAGTTTATTATCTCAGCCTATATGTATTATCGGAGGTGTTGGTGGTAATGTTGTCGGCCGTAATGTTGTCAAACAATTAAAGTCATCCCCATGAATGATTTGACCTGAATAGTCGCACATTGTGAAATAACACCAGTTTCCTGATTGTCCGCTAGATATTTGTTCTCCAGGTTGGTAATGTTTCCCTTCAATAACACATCCACGTGGTGATGTAGTTGGTGGTAATATAGTTGTAGAACAATGAAAGTCATCCCCATATATGATTTGCCCGGAATTGTCACACATTGTAAAATAGCACCAGTTTCCTGATTGTCCCTGTTGTATCATCTCACCAAAACGATATGTCTTTCCTCTATAAACACATCCTGGTGGCAGGGTTGTCGGTGGCATTGTGGTTGGTGGTGGCGATGGATGCATTGTGGTGTAGGGCAAATGATTTTCATTTTTTACGTTCACTGCTCGTTTATTCATTAAGGCTCTCATCATTTTCATTTTAGTATCTACAATATGAAGGTAATTATTTACTTTAAATTATAATTGTTCTTTAAATATTGTATTTTGAAAATTATTCATATAATATATGGCTTCCCATTTTCTTCTACCCTTTGGCCGCTAAACTCTGTTATATATGTTGTCAAAAGGCGTTATCAACATACAAATACATAAATAATATATGCGAAATTAATCAAATGGTTTAAAATGTAATATATTAACAGATAGAATTTTATAAATAACAGAATGATACAAAACATGTATATTTTCCATTTGAAATGATGTCAAAATTCTAATCTAAATCAAATAGCAGGATGAGTCCTTGGCATAGTCTCTGTGCTATTCATTACTTTAGCTCTTGATTTGAATATGGACACTTGTCTATCATTATTGACCGTACGTTCCTCTCAACATGTCATTTTGGTTTCAATATGTTGTTGGGTTGCTGTCTCATTAAAGTATATCTCGCATTAAAAATTAATTATCATTGTATATAAATGTACTTGCCAATGCAAGTCTTACATGTAAATAAGACACATTTAAATTTTCAAAATCCAGAACAGCACAATTAAAATTTCTCGAAAAATTGGTTTAAAACACTCATAAAATGATTGAAACCGCCGCATAACGTGTCTGTACTAAGTCAGGCTAACTGGATCATGTGTTTTGCAATACAGCTAATGCTGTTTGTTTTTGTATGTCTATTTTCCCGGAGTAATTGGGTGGTTGATGTGGTCTATTGTACTGTCCAATATTTTGTTTGTTTTTGTATGTCTATTTTCCCGGAGTAGTTGGGTACGTGATTGATGTGGTCTGTTGTACGGTCCAATATGTTTTTGTTTTTGTATGTATACTTTCCCGGAGTAGTTGGATGGTTGGTGTGGTCTGTTGTACGGTCCAATATGTTTTTGTTTTTGTATGTATACTTTCCCGGAGTAGTTGGGTGGTTGATGTGGTCTGTTGTACGGTCCAATATGTTTTTGTTTTTGTATGTATACTTTCCCGGAGTAGTTGGGTGGTTGACGTGGTCTGTTGTACGGTCCAATATGTTTTTGTTTTTGTATGTCTATTTTCCCGGAGTAGTTGGGTGGTTGATGTGGTCTGTTGTACGGTCCAATATTTTTTTGTTTTTGTATGTATACTTTCCCGGAATAGTTGGGTGGTTGATGTGGTCTGTTGTACTGTCCAATATTTTTTTATTTTTGTATGTCTATTTTCCCGGAGTAGTTGGGTGGTTGATGTGGTCTGTTGTACGGTCCAATATTTTTTTGTTTTTGTATGTCTATTTTCCCGGAGTAGTTGGGTGGTTGGTGTTGTCTGTTGTACGGTCCAATATTTTTTTGTTTTTAAATGTCTATTTTCCCGGAGTAGTTGGGTGGTTGATGTGGTCTGTTGTACGGTCCAATATTTTTTTGTTTTTGTATGTATACTTTCCCGGAGTAGTTGGATGGTTGATGTGGTCTGTTGTACGGTCCAATATGTTTTTGTTTTTGTATGTCTATTTTCCCGGAGTAGTTGGGTGGTTGGTGTGGTCTGTTGTACGGTCCAATATGTTTTTGTTTTTGTATGTATACTTTCCCGGAGTAGTTGGGTACGTGGTTGATGAGGTCTGTTGTACGGTCCAATATGTTTTTGTTTTTGTATGTATACTTTCCCGGAGTAGTTGGATGGTTGATGTGGTCTATTGTACGGTCCAATATGTTTTTGTTTTTGTATGTATACTTTCCCGGAGTAGTTGGGTGGTTGATGTGGTCTGTTGTACGGTCCAATATGTTTTTGTTTTTGTATGTATACTTTCCCGGAGTAGTTGGGTGGTTGATGTGGTCTGTTTTACGGTCCAATATGTTTTTGTTTTTGTATGTATACTTTACCGGAGTAGTTGGGTGGTTGATGTGGTCTGTTGTACGGTCCAATATGTTTTTGTTTTTGTATGTATACTTTCCTGGAGTAGTTGGGTGGTTGATGAGGTCTGTAGTACGGTCCAATATGTTTTTGTTTTTGTATGTATACTTTCCCGGAGTAGTTGGGTGGTTGATGAGGTCTGTTGTACGGTCCAATATTTTTTTTTGTTTTTCCTGTTTTTCCTGTTTTATATTAAAAAAAAAGGTGGAAGATACCAAATGGAGAACCGTGCAAATCTTTGAGGTGATACCAAACACTTTGACTAAAATTAATTTGGCTAGTTTAATTTTCATAACATTTTGACAAAATATTTACTTTGACCCTTTGACAAAGATATAAAAATTTCAAAAAACTTGAACCACACACTTTATCGAAATAAATTTCATTGGATATATTATAGCAGTTTGACAAACACTAATTTTGATCATTGAGAAGCTTAATATTTCCTTAACAATAGAACGTGATTAAAAAGATCAGCTGATTTTACAGAGTTATCTCCCTGTAGTGTTATGTAACACCTTAAGTAATTTGATGGCGTCATTTGTCAAGAGATCGAGGGTTCCTAGTAACAAACGTCAGAGACTGGTATTTATGAATTTATCCTTATCACTCGGACACTCTTCTTATAACTAACAAACCCTGCTTATCACTAACAAAACCTGCTTATCAATGAAAAAACTCTGCTTATCACCCATGTTTTAGAGAATACATGTAAGAGCACTAATTTTAAAACAAAATTACAAAAAAACGAAGTTACTTTGAGGCATCATACGTGTTTTTCGAAAATGAATTTTCATTACTCATGTTACTAGCGCTTAATTGTCACGACCATTAAGGGTTGAAGGAGCAATATTCACTTTTTAAAATTTGCTTCCTTTTCCAAACATTTTCCCCACGAAAAATGACCCATATATACTAACACCAAATAATGATTCTTAACGGTTCTTATTACGAAAATAGTCTGATATTTTTATATTTTGTTTCTTTCAAGATTAATTCTTATCTTCTTTTTCTTACAATCAAATACATGCTCTTTAGACACAGATGGTAATGAATAATTGGAAGAAGCGTTAAATCTAATTTGCAGGGGTGCCAGTGTAAGCCATAGTATAACAAACCTACCAGTATTAGATAAATTCTACTATATGCATATCCGTCCTATTCTACAGGAAACTTGTATCACAAGTACATGCACTCTTAAAATAAATCCAACCTTGTAATCATACGATTATTATAAATTGTTTTAATATAATATTATGATTACTACTTAGAGAATTACAAATTTACCTCCGCTTTCCGCCATTGTGAGTAAAAGTCCAAAGTATACCATTAAAAAATGCAGTTGATAGGACATGGTTTCCAAATATCCGTTTCCACTGTCTTATCTTCAAGTGACAAACACTTTATAAACTGAAACGAATAATGAAAGATTTCATTTGAACCATTCCATTTGAAGAACAAGGAGAGAGAGAGGGATGTCAAAAGGATTTTTTTTCATACATTTGAATCATTCTATTTCCATGTTAACAAAATAAGAACAGAGAGAGGGAGAGGGGGTGTCAAAAGGATTTATTTTCATACATTTGAACCATTTTATTTCCATGTTGACAGAATAAGAACAAGGAGAGGTAGAGGGGGTGTCAAAAGGATTTACTTTCATTATAAAATCAATAGTAAAATACAAATGTTAATTTATTACTCAGCCTCAAATTCCTGCATAAATAAACCATATATAAACATGTGAAGCATTTTTTTTTGTATCAGTTATAATTTTTTTTTATATCCACTTACCATACGTGTCTAAAACACAAAATAAGTATAGCTTGATACAAAAAAAACTACACATTATATTACTGCCCTAAGCCCATGAGGCAAGCTGAATATATATATATATTAGTTCATAAATTTTACTCACAGTACACCCAGAGGTTTATTTTCTCTTTACTAAGTATTAACCTTTGCTTGACATTATATATAACCAGACACATACAATTATACAATAATACCGGTAGTACTATGTCTCTGATATATAATTACATGACATCTGTTGTTTTTCTTATCGTTTTCCGAGATAACGTTTTTCGCTTTATTGACATTTTGTTTTACGACGAAACAACTTATGTTGCATATATGATTAAAGTTCACTACTGCAAGCAGGGGCGTAGTTAGGTATCATTTTTGGTTGCAAAATTTTGTGTACAAAAAACATAAAATTTACTGGTAATTTTATCATAGTATACATGAAGAAAAGTTAAAAGAATTATAAATAATTTTACAATAACATCTGACTGATGAATTTACGCAGTACAATCGGAAATCTAAAAAAATATATATTTACAATATGCATTGTCCAGCGTAGATCAGCATAGCCCTTTAATTAAGCAGTACATCCTGTCTAGTTATTTCATATCTATTCCTTTTTGATTGACTGAGGATAATTGATATATATACGTCAATAGATAGTACATTTTGACGATCCTTCATTACAAAAATATGCACGTAAACACTGAGACTACTATATGATAATACTATCCTTTGAGCTAGGCATCGACCATTCATCTTTTGATTCTTAAACCTTCACTCTCCCCGGCCACACAAACACATACACGCACACAGTCGATGCCTAATAAAGCCAGAAGTTCTGTTCTGTTCATACTATCTAACAAAATTCAAGAAGTTCATATTTTCTGATATCCTGTACTGTAAAATTCCTAAGGAATTTGAATAATTATGGTCATTACACGTTGATCTGATAGTACTGGAAGTTACTGAATGCTAGCTGATTGATTAATTGATTGCTAAACGTCCAGTGGCAAACAGTCCATGCATGTTCAGGACAAAAACAAATTTACAATTAATACAACAGGTAGATCCTTTAATAGGAGTCGTCCAGGATGAAGGTCTGGAAATTTGAAAATGCCATTGGAAATTAAGGGTTTATTGGATAGGGACAGACATTTTGCCTTTCAGCAGACCACCTACGGACCCTTCAATGAGTTGTTGCAAGTGTTCTTAACGTGCAGAGAGCGTGGCATTCTCTCTACACTAGGCATCGGATTTGACGTCCACATTCTGTCCAGACGTGACTGCGTATTTATACATCCCGCACAGCCGAACGGACGCCCCACTTGGCAAGGGTTTTAGTGTAGGTCGGATGAAGACCAAGTGGAAAGCTAGTTGAAAGCCAACAACAACTAATAAAAAAATCATGCATCTAAGAATAAAATGTCATGGTTTTGAGCATGTTAAGGTTCATTCGTGTATTTGTTGATAGAAGTGAAATGATCTGAACCAAAGCTCTAATATAATTTACATACAATTCTATCCAATACTCCATTCCCTAAGGATGATAGACTAGTGTATAAATGACATTTGATAATTAAAGAGTTTTGACGACTTCACGTGCATCTACAGATAACGTTGTCATTATTTTTGTTTTAATGGAAAAAAGTATTTGTGAAAAAATTATGCGTAGGCACGTGCCTAAAGTGCCTAACGGCAGCTACGCCCCTGGCAGTCACTGCCAAGGAGCAGATTAATTAAAATGAATCATACACAAATAAATATTATATATTAAATAAAGAAATTACAATCGTTTTGATTTGTTCTAATTTTTGTTGATTACAATAATAATAGTACTAGTTCGAATGTCCCCCCCCCCCCAAAAAAAAATAAATAAAATAAGAAATACTATGAATGAATAAAATAATGGAAATACATAGTAAATATCATTTTATTAATCTGAGGATCTCCAGCTCTACATTTGTTTTCAAGCATTGTTGGTGTTTAACTTGCTTAGAAGAAGTGTTAACTACTAAATCGATCATGTGAATAGAGGGAATTACAATGGAGTTGTATTCTGACATTTTAAGAAAGCTTCTGGAAATGTTAACCACTAAATTTTTATCTTCAAAATAAGATATATACAAATTGTATTCTCTTTCTTTCAAATGGTATAATCATGTATCCACCAGGTCTCAAAATTTGAAAATGACCAACAACCTATCATAAGACAAAAGAGGTGGTAAAATTTGATGTCGACATCTTATCCCTTTACCATCTCTCTTAATATATCAATAATCTTCCATTAAATCTGACAAGTACATTCCAACCACGTCTTTGTTATAAAGAGTTTTATTGTCAAATACATTTGTATTTCAATTCTATGGCCGGAAGACTTTAATATATAGATATAAGAAGATGTGGTATGAGTGTCAATGAGACAACTCTCCATCCAAGTCACAATTTGAAAAAGTAAACCATTGCCTGTTTTATAGATTTTCATAATGCCAATTGATAGTTTTATTCATGATTGTACGAAGCTTAAATTGATACAAATGAATGTAGGACATAAATTCTACAATACTACAAGTAGTATATATAATAAGAGTGAAAAGTAAAATCACAAAAATACTGAACTCCGAGGAAAATTCAAAAAGGAAAGTCCCCAATCAAATGGCAAAATCAAAAGTTCAAACACATCAAACGAATGGATAACAACTGTCATATTCCTCACTTGGTACAGGCATTTTCTTATGTAGAAAATGGGGGATTGAACCTGGTTTTATAGCTAGCTAAACCTCTCACTTGTATGACAGTCGCATCAAATTCCATTATATTGACAACAATGCGTGAACAAAACAAACAGACACAATAGGTAAAAATGTCAAAAATAGGGGTACAGCAGTCAACATTGTGTTATCATCTTAATCACTATAAAAACAAACAAATGTAACGAAGAAGCACAAAAGGGCATACATCAAATTTAACATCCTCATTTTGCTTATATTACACGATTTTATTTATCTATGTAAAATCCACCCATAAAGGATGGAAGGTTTTAAGTACTGGCGTAAAATCGCGCGTTTGAAATTCGCACAGGTAGACATAACATAATTTTGTCGTTCAAAGTATGACGGGATACATAAGTACAGAGTCATGTAAAATGGATATCACAAAAAAAAAACAGACTTAACAGTAAAAAAGTAATATTAATAAATAAAATAATTGTGTGGTTCAAAGTATGACGGGATACATAAGTACAGAGTCACGTCAAATGTATATCACAAAAAAAAGACTTGACAGTAAAATTAATTTTAATAAATAAAATAATTTTGTCGTTCAAAGTATGACGGGATACATAAGCACAGAGTCACGTCAAATGGATATCTAAAAAAACAGACTTAACAGTAAAAGTAATATTAATAAAGACAATTAAAAGAATACTATAACATGTTATTAAGATAATAAACAACATCAGTACGCAAAATCTATACTTCAAGACCATCGTGTTATATTTGTGAAGTTGATACGGAATATTTATCAACAAGTTCTTGGTACCTTCCGATGAACTTTTTTAGAAAAAGGACGAGACGTTCTTTGACATACCCCTGGTTCATCTACTTTCTGCTCAGACACTGGTGACGTTTTACAAAGTCTGAGTAGGAGCTGCAAGCTCTTGAATACCGAATAAGTTGGGAAATGTATATCCATATGCAGGTGAAGTTGGTATATTGCTACTAAGGTGGGGGAAATTGATAATTTCAAAATTAAAATCGTCTCGTTTGTCATAGATTCTGGTACTGAGATGCCTGTGTATGTCAAATTCGAGGTATAAGTCTATAAATGAGGCGGAGGAAGCCGTGTCTGTTGTTTCTTTAATTTCTAGTTCTGGTGGATATATTAATGGAACCCAATCAGAAAAGTTCGGATTGTTAATGGAAAGAACATCATCAATATATCTGAAAGTGAAATTAAATAACCTGGCTTCTTTGATCTTCTTGTTTTTGACAAGTGTCTGAAGGAACTCCGATTCATATGAAAATAAGAAGAGGTCGGCAAGGAGAGGCGCACAGTTCGTTCCCATAGGAAACTTTCAATATGTTGAAAAAGTCTACCTCCAAATTCAACAAATATGTTGTCAATAAGAAACTCCAGCATACTGATCACTTGTTCCTCTGTATAGCATGTTTTACCCTTTTGTTCACTATTAACAAAATATGCCTTATGGTATCCCAAAGTAATAAATTTATAGCGTATGCTACCATTTTTATGATGAAAAGCATTGTAGATTATTTCTTTTAGACGGGTTTTCAATTTCACATGGAGAATGGTGGTATACAAGGTTGAAAAATCAAAAGTTTTGATAGAACTAATTTCAGAAAAAGACCGAGATTTAAAATCATCCAGAAGTTCTTTAGAGTTTTTAAGAATCCACATATGGTTAATACCACTACGCGAGTAAACAGTTTCACAGTATTTCTGAAGACCCTCTTTCACTGCGGACAGAAGCTTGTGTAAAAGTACATGTTTCAGTTACCAGCCCATTTTTTGTGAAACTATGGGTTTTTCAAGGTATAACTTAAGTCCTACCCTGTTTAATATTTGTATTAACGATCTCCCATCTTATTTACAAACATGCTTTGGCTCTGTGAAACTTAAATGCAAAAAAAGACAAAATAGTTATCTTTAATAAAGCTGGAAGAATCTTTCATCAAAACATTTTATTTAATGATCCTACTATAGAATGTGTGTCCAGTTATGCATATCTGTGTATACATTTTTCAGCTTCAGGAGGGTTTCATGGACTAAAAATGAGCTGTATAACAAAAGAACTGAAAGGATGTTACAAATTAATAAAAGATTTTTTAAGGAAAAATTCATGAAAAGACTCTAGTTTACATGTTTTAAAACCATACAATCAAACTTACAATCTCTAGTTGTCCTTTTCGGGTCCTTTAATTTGGAATAAAGTATATTCTATTCTGTTCTATGCAAATTAGTAATAGTACTAAGTCTTATAATTGTGCCATATGACCTAATTTGTACTCGTATTCTGTATTGCAAAGTTGGTAATTTAAATTTTCGTAATCGTTCTTCATATGGTAGTTGTGCCGTAAAGACATGTTATTTCTTTACTTATCTAGTTCTTCTTTAAACATTTTCGATGGATTGTTTGGGTTTTTTTTATATGGTCACCACACTTAATTTTCATATTATAGATGAGACCTCACATGAGCTGTGCATAATAAAGTAGACGGGTTGT